CCTGGATTTAGGAAAATGCAGCGCAGCAACGCTGCTGGGCTGGTCTGGCTTCACCTCAGCAAACACAGACGCTGCTGCTTGGCAGATCCTCTACCATTATATTTCAGAAGCACTTTTTTAGATAACCTAAAACAAAATAATTTCTCGCTCTCTAGACGGGAGATCTTTAAAGCACTGCACAAACATTCCTACACGCGTTTCAGCATCCAAGGCTGCACACGCTGACTGTGACATGTGAGCAGTGTTACTGATATCAGAGAAACCACATCCCAAGTGAAACATTTACAAAAGCTTTTGCAGAATGAGGACACAATTTAGGCCCAAAACTTCTAACATCTCTCAAAAAGTAACAAGGTAACTTGCATGTTTCATCTCAAACCAACTAAGCTCGAAAAAAAATAATTTGCTTTAAATCCTCCCTAACAAAAATCTAGTTACCTTCCAAGATAATTCTCCTCAGACTCACATTCCAAGAATACAAAACACTTTATTACAGACACTAAGGCAGACTTCCATCAGAATAAAGTGCTGGAACCCAATTAACATCATTAGCACTATGACAATTTACATCGGCCACAGATCTGCCTCCAGATGTATAAACTTATTTCAAGCGTTGGTGTTAACAGCTTCAAACTAACCAAAATATGTCAGTACAGATTGTGCTCTGCCTGAACCAATTTATAATTTATCAAACAATCTTGTAAAAGCTACACTTAACACATGTTTACTCTTAGTTGAGATATCAATTTCTCATTTCCTGCCAGCCTTTTATCACTTGACCGAAAATCCATGATGTACGGTAAATTGTTAACTATTAGTCTCAACTCAATTTCCTCTGCTGATCCCCTACTTGGGCACTTAAACCGATAAAGATGAAAATTCAGCTCAAAATACTGTAGAAATCTTAGGGATTTACAACTAATCAAAGCAGTTTCATTTAGCACCAAGTCCTAACAATGATGCCCTGTTGCTATCCATAATTACCAAGATCACACCATAGGTGATAATGCCTGTCAGCCCTGCAGAAGCATTTAAATGAAAGCACTTATAAAGCAAGAACTTCCAACCTCAAACTCCCTCAAAACTGAAGAAATTCCAGGCTGCAAACATGACCCAAACAAGACTTGAAAAATCAAAGGTTTAGGAGAACTTTATCAAGCCCCTTGATTCTAAGGACAGGTGTTCTGCACTTCCAAGTATGACTTTATGAAGCTCTACTCTAGAGAAATCACATATTCCAAATTCAACAACAAAAACCCCAACCTTTCAGAAGCCACAGCCTGGGGTTCAACATACATTTAAACTTTGCTCTTGGTACTACAGGAACACGTAGCAATGCCTGGTTTGCTTTTCCATCTCTTCTTATCCAGAGTGCCCAGCTTCAGCTCCTGCATTTGCCAGAATGGAGCAGACAGTATCCTGGCCACATATTGTTTCAAATATACATCACTTATCTCTATCCCCCCACTAGGCTGAGAATTACAAGGGTAAGGAATTCCAACATCAATTCAAAGGGAAATAACTGAATATCTCCTCTTTGTCTGGCCCTTACTCTTGCCAAAGCCAGTGGCAAGAGCCATACCCACGGCATCTTAGTATCTATCACCAGCTTCAAAAGGTGTTTCTTTATTTCTCCATTCATTCTTTCAACCCAGCCTGAGCTGTGGGGGTGCCAGGGGATATGGAGGTTCCATTGTATTCCTAGAGCAGTCATCACCCCTTGAAGGATCTTTCCTGCAAAATGAGTTCCCCTATCTGAGTCTATTGCTTCCACAGCCCCGTATCTTGGAATTATTTCTTCCAAATGTACTTTAATAACTAATCCTGAAGTTGCTGAAACAGTTGGAAATGCTTCTGGCCACCCTGTTAGCTGACATACTACTACCACAAGACACTTAAACCTCGTCACTTTGGGTATTTTGGCAAAATCTACCTGGCATCTTTGGAAGGGACGTACAGCCCAAGACCTCCCTCCCCTGGTGAGTTTCTTTGTAACTCTGTTATTGGTTTTAGCACAAACCAAGTAACCTTCAATAGCTCACTTTGCAAAGGTACAACAATTACACTTACCATTGGTAGAGGCACCCTCTAGAAATTGGACTAAATTAATAATGGTAATACACAATTCAAACAAATAGGCTCACCTTTAGGAAAACCCCTTTTTCAGCTATCACTCCTCAATCAATCCATTATTTGAATGGAGTCAAACTTCACAGGACCAAGCTTTGGCCAGTTTAAGAATATTACCAATTGGACCAGAATTACTTCCATTCTTTTCACCACATACCTCACCAGATTGCGAGGAGCAACTCTCAGCTCTGTCTCTGGAGCTGAGTTTCAGAGCTGAATTTCGAGAGTATTTACACATTTGCATGGTAGCTATTCAGACATTTGTGCTGGCATTCATGCCCACAGGTCATTTGACAAAACATTGCACATCGTTAATTTGAATTCTGAAGCTACCAAACAGTCAGAAAATGAATACGTGGGTGGGTTTTAAATAGCAAGCCTTAAAGAAACCAAAAAAAGTAGGACAGTGAATATATAAATCAGAGGCCAAGCCCAGGTTAGCATATACAAGTCCTGCATGGAGGTAAATATTTGAAAATAAATAAATAAGAACTGTTAGAAGCTGCAAACCCCAAACACATTGCCTCGTTCCAGGGGCACCAAACCAGCATGGATGCACCTGCCCACAGGAGGGTCCCCTTTGACTTTGGGTAACCTCCGGGGATGCAACTCCACACATGCCAGCAAGTTACGATCGGGCAAAAAACCCTGTTAGTTTTCCTCAAAGGGGATATTGGGGGCCATGGAGCAGACCACAAGAAAAACATTTCATGTTTTAAGCAAGGAGCATGTGTTTTGCTGAAGACTTTCCCTTCTCTCCTGATCCCAATTCTGACTTAGAACTTGGGACTTTTGGAAGAACTTTGATGCCATACAGTCACTAAGAGGGATGTAAGAACAGTTTAGGGTTGTGCTCCCCACCGAAAGCGCCGAGCGCCGATCCCGCTGCAGGTCGCCCCCAGGGAACGGGCACAGAGAGGGGGACAGCCCTCTCCGAACGATCCCGGAGGATGGGCGGGACGGCCCGGACGGAGACAGCGGG